AATTGTCCTGGCTTTTATTCATCTGTCTCCTATGTCTTACCTGCAGGTTAGTATGGGTTTTTGTTTTGTTTTGTTGTTTTTTTTTTCTTGTGATGAAGAAGTGTTGATAGGGAAAGCTTTGAGGCTCCACTTGGGTTCCCACTTAATTACTTCTGTAATGTATTCATTGGATTATTTGCAGTAAGCAGTCCCTGAATCAGTTCTATGATGGAGTATATTCATTTTATGAAGATTAGAAAAATGGATAGCAAACCATTTTATTACATATGTTATTAAGGAAAGCAGAGTGGTGCTTTGTAAGTTTTTCTTCAGAAAGGATTTTCTTTGTTTATTGCATCGCTGAACAATTCCCTCCCTTTCTACCCCAAGTACTCTCCAGAACAGCTATAGCTTCAGCAGTGCTTGCTGGCTAGACAAATATATCACTGCAATTGGAAAAATATCACTGGAGGGACAGATCCAGGTCTGAAAACAGCGCAATTAGCTCTCAGCATGAAAAGGTGGATCAGATGTTCCTGAAACCAAGTGACAATGTTGGCTTGAGCCAGGCATATTACCGGGGGCTGACAATGGCCACGTAGGTGTCCTCCCTGCCTGTTTCTGTCAACGAAGATCAGTCCTGAGCTGAATTCCACTACTCGCTCCAGGAGAATTCGCCATAGGTAATTGTACAGAAGTGCATCAGTAGATGTGGGGTCAAATATTCACTATTCCTCCTTGTTTCCTTTATTTTTCACAAAGAATTTTGCTGCACGAATAATATGTGACTCTTCAGGAAAATCACCGTGGTCAACGGTGAGTGTGTGTGTTCAGAGCAGCCCTGTCCTTTGAAGAACCACTTTATCTCAGTCCTGTTGCTTCTGACAGGACTGCCAGCCAGAGTTCCCGAGCCCCTGACCAACCTGCCTGGGAGAGCATGACACCAGCCCCCTGCCCAATGACTGGGCACAGGAGTACGCTTGTCACCCGAGGTGGGACAATGGGAACTCTCCCGGGAATTACGTCCACTGGAACAGGAGTGAGAGGCCCCCTGTCCTCCAGGGTTGCTCTTCTGGATATGACATTAAATCTGTTTTTAACAGCTTCCCACACCAAGGATAATTTGTTTGGATTGAAAGGAAAAGAGGAAGTTGGCTTACCCAGAACAAAGTGATGCGAAGGAGGAGAAGAAGGAAGGGAAGGAAGGAGAGAGGCAGGGAAGGAAGGAGAGCAGGTGGAGAGAGAGAGAGAGATGCTAAGACCATCTTGCTGACTTGCTACACAATCATATGAGTGAACATATAACATGTGACACAGTCATGTGTGTGTTAGGCTCTGGAGAAGAAGACGCTGCAGGTGCAGGGTTGTGGGTAGGTACAGTGAACACTGGTGTTTGCTTGTGCTTGGCTATTCCAGGGCACAACAGCGAGGGCACAGGATGTTCCGGGGTGTTCTCATGTCACTTGGGCTACCAGGTAAGACAGCCATGGTGGTTGTGGATGGCTCCCCAGCACATGTTTTCTGTTCTCCAGGCTCTTTCAAAATAGTCAAGAATATCAAAGATTCAAGATCACGGAGAACAACATGCAGTATCCTGTGGAGGCCACTAGCATGCACAGGGTGCCCATTGGTGCAACGGGGCTGTAGACAGAGGAGCCAGGTGAGGCTCATAGAATCACCGAGGGTTTTTGGTGGTGGTGGTGGTGGTGCTTGATCAAAGACCAAGTGGAAAGGCTGGCTGGAATTTGTGCTCCAATGGAATCCCAGCTCTTTAAGTGGCAGGATAGACTTCTCATTCTCTTCACCTTCAGACTTTCAGAACCGCTGGAAGTGTTTGATTCCTGTTGTTCTGAAGATTTCTCTTCTTGCCTTGCACTTTGATTGTCCCAGTGATTATGAGGGCCGTGCCAGAAGTGCAGGGCAGACCCTGCACTAAGTCCACTGAGGCCATACGAGGGAGTGATGCCATCATTGTCTACTTCACAGAATTGCTGTGGTCAATCAATATATTGATAATGCATGCGGAAACACTGGAGAAAAGCACATGGCACGACACTAACACCAGCCATTACCAATGAATGTCTCTCAGCTCCAACATCAAAATATCTTACTCAGCTGAAATGACCATAGCCTCCCATGATTGCCCACCACAGTTCTGCCCAGTCCTTTCTCAGAAATACCCAGAACACAAGGACCAGGGGACCTCCATCCAGCATGTTGCTCTGGTCAGTGACCCTGACAGATCCTTTGATTTTGCAGAATTTACATGGAAAGAACTGATTTAAGAAATCACAAATGAAAGGGAACAATAAAGCATTTGTCTAACCATCTGCCATAAGATAGCACATATAAAAAGCAGGCTACAGTTTAAAAGTTAAAGAAGGGGGTGCATTGTGATGCAGCAGGTAAAGTTGTGACACTGCAGTCCATATGGGCACTGGTTCATGTCCCGGCTGCTCCACTTCAGATCCAGCTCCCTGCTAATGCACCTGGAAAGAGCAGCGGAAGATGCCCCAAGTGTTTTGGGTCCCTGCCACTGCTGTAGGAGACCTGTATTACACTCTTGGCTCCTGGCTTTGGCCTGGCCCAGTGCTGCCCATTGCAGCCATCTGGGGAGTAAACCAGTTGATGGAAGATCTCTGTGTGTGTGTGTGTGTGTGTGTGTGTTTGTGTGTCCCTCTTTCTCTGTAACTCTGACTTTCAAATAAATAAATCTTTTTTAAAAAGATAAAGGGGAAACTAGACAAAAAGCATATTTGTGAAAAAGCTTAAATTGTTCAGCAGAATTTAAAGGCTCAGGGACTAAATTCTTCCCCTGCATTATCAGGACTCCCTGGGAAGACAGAATTGCTGTGGCCACCTCGAGCCATCCCTTGCGAGTGCTAACATCTTGAGTGAAATGGGGAACAGCTTTTAAAGAGCTAAATCTTCATTCCAGGGATGAATATTAAATTTCACATTCCATGAAAGATTTGAGCTAGATCTGCTACATGAAAAGTGACTCTCTGTTGATGTCACTTGTGAGGAAGGAAGGTATCCCCTGCTTGCTTCTGATCTGCATTGCCTAGCTTTCATCAGCAAAACAGTAGTCATTTCTCCTCTTGGCCACCTCAGTTGTGCCTTGCGCATAAAATGTACCTTAAGGATGTTTTAATTCTGGGCCAGGGCAAAGAGTTTTTGAGACCTCTCAATATGAGTTCAAACCTAAGTCTGGTCATCAAGAAATACAATGTAGTTTCCAAACCCTCTTGAAACTTCTCTAGCTAGTATACTTGGTAAAATGAGACTAACTCGTTGGATAAAAGGACTTTTTAATAGATGTGTCTTTTTGTCTACAATCATGCTCAGTATCTATGGGAATTGGTTCCAGGAATCCCATCAATACCCAAATCCTCAGGTGTTCAGGTACCTCAAAGAAAATGGTGTAGTATTTGCATGGAACTGACACACATCCTCCTGTCTGCTTTAAATCATTTCTAGATGACTTTCTGTACCTAATACATTGTGTATGCTGTGTAAATAGTGGTTATACTTGTATCGTCGAGGGAACCAAGACAAGAATAAAAGAATCTGCTAATGTTCAGCGCAGACACAGCCATCACAGGCGTCTCTACACAGTAGATCAATGAGGCTACAGGTAAGGAATGTGCACTGGAGACTGAGTTCCTGTGAGACGGCAGAGGCTGCCACAGGGTCTAGCCAAACAATACTCCATTCATGGGACTCAGTAGAGTGAGCCATGTGTGGCAAATTCAAGTTTTGCTTTTTGGAACTTCCTGACATATTTTTTATCCGCAGTTGGTTCAGTTCATGGATGCAGAACTGGTATATTAGGAAAATGGACTGTACTTCCCTCCACACCTCTCTGAATCCATGTAGATTTACTCATGAAGCAAAGACCATCCCCCTTCATCCCAGCATAGGGGGATTGGATAGAGGGATTTAGGTACTTGTGAGACCACTGGAGACCTGTGGGTATGAAAATTTAGGGCCACTGTCACAATCAGGTTTGCTGTTGGAGAGTGAATAGCTGGAGGCGGGTGTTTGTAGCACAGCTGGTTGTCACTGCTTGGGACCCCACATCCAATATCAGGGTACCTGGCTCAAGTCCCAGCTCCACTTCAGATCCAGCTTCCTGCTAATGCACACCCTGGGAGACAGCAGTGATAGCTCAAGTGCATGGGTCCTTGCCAGTCACATGGAACACTCAGATTGAGTTCTGGGCTACTGGCTTCAACTTGACCCAGCCCTGGCTGTTATGAGCATTTGAGGGGAGTGAACCAGCAGAGGGAGGATCTCTCTCTCTCTCCCTATCCTCTGCCTTTCAAATCAATAAGTCAAAACATTTAAAAATGTGCACTCATCCATTTCACCATATACATTTTCATGGAACAAAAGACCTACATGTTGATGTGCCTTCTTCCCCTTGTATCTGCTTTGTGTGAAAATTAAACTATGCTAAAGAAACATGAGAATGTGTGTGTGAAAAGACAGACTGAGATAATTTTATATGAATCTTTCAGCAAAAGAGTGGAAATAACTTGTGTTACTGTGCAACTTTTGGTGCAATTTTATGTTACATTGGAGCAATAAAAGGAAATGAGTCAGCCAACTACATTCTGCCCTGTGGGCTGGAAGCCATGTGACAGAGACCAATACTTCAGTTCCAGCGGCTCCCTTTCATCCTGCTGGCATCTGGGTTGGTGCCCAGGGGAGGGGACAATGCTCTTCTGAGTGTACCAGTGACTCAGCTGTTGTCTCTGGGCCCCAAACCCACACTCTTCATTGCGCCCTGTGGTGGCTCCAGCTCCCACCAGGCGCTGCCAGAGAAGGCATTGGCAGGGCTGGCAAACAGTCTTGACCTTGCTGCCCACTCCCCATTCTTGAGTGTCCCCTGGTAAGACTTGCTCAGCCCTGGGGTAGGGGAGGCTTCTCCAGAGTCCACTGAGCAATTTCTCCGACACCCCTAGAGCCAGCCTCACCCTAAGTGTCTGGAGGGCAGCATCGGCTGAGCAGCCCAGTGGGTCCTGAGCTTTCAGTCCCAGTTCCACCAGCCACAGGGGTGCGAGAAGGGCCGCCGCACCTGCTCTTCTCACCTCCCTGGGACAAGTTCCTCCCTCTTGATGTTTTTAGTTCCCTAGTGAACAACTTCACACACACTTCGCAATTCTGCATATCACATTCTTTCTCTTCTCATAGATTGTATGGCTTCTGTTCATTTGGCTGCACCTTGGCTTGATAGCACAGACAAATGGAATTTTGGGAATATGCATTGGCTTTGGATAAGTATTTCCTTAATGAATGACCAAGTGAATACATGAATGAGCATGCCAATGCTCTCAGTAATGTTTGCTAAATATTTATGCTCTGTGTGCTTTGCAGGACTGGATACAGTGGCTGCATGGGGAACATGGAAGGTGCCCTTAGCTGGGTCACCAACTTCTACCCTGGTTTCCAAACAAGCGCTTTTCCAGGCTCCGTCCTCCGAGCTCTGCAGCCTCAGAGTGGGCAGCCAATTCAGTCCCTGCACCTTGGGGTGAACTTGCCCCAGGTCAGACATGCCCTGTGCCTGTGTGACAGTGACTTGGAGACACCAGGAGGGACACTCTGCCCTGCCTGTGAATTTGGCATCTTTGCTATCTCCACTAGACCAAGGAAGCTGACAAGTCTGATGCTCACACAAATCTCAAAGTACAGAGCCTACTACAAGAGAGAGAGTGGCCATGTGGAGAAGTCTGGCTGACTATTACCCAATCGAAGGCACACGGTAGGAAGCAAATGAACCTGATTAAAGAAAATGGAGTACATTTCTCCTTGCCAGAGAAATACAGATAAATAAATTTTAAAATGCACCTGAAATTTTCCCCTGTCCCTGTTTGATGTAGGAATTGAATCCTAAAACCAGAGGAGTTGAATCCTAAAACCAGAGTGCCACCTGCTGTCCATTGTGACACTCAGAACCTGGGAGTGTTTAAGCAGATACCCAGCGTGTCGCAATATGGGGCCAAGGGTTCTTTGTTACCACGGTATGAAGGCATCTATCTACGTGTGACTGCCCCAGTCACTTAGTTCCAAATGAGGGATCTGGCCCTGCCCAAAGCAGGCAAACTTCCCCCATGTCTGCAGGAGTCCCGGGAGAGGCATGTGTCTGTGCATTGAGCTCTGGTTTGCAAAGGTGTTTCTTGGGAAGAGGTCAAGATGCTACATTTGGGGGCAGAGCTCTTGGCAGTTGAATCCCACAGTGAATAATGTGTGGAAATAAATAGATAGCATCACAGATTAGACACAGTAGGATTACAGAAATGCGTTCCATGGGATTACTGGCCCGCAGCATGTTGCAGTGGGGGGGGGGGGTCTCAAGATGTTCTTTAGGAGGGAGTCACTTCATTGTGAGCCTTATGAGTAGATGAGATGACATGATGTAACAACTCGGAGATGTTGCAAGAGGGTATTGGAGAGGGTGGGGCCTGTGTAAGAGCTTCGGGACTAGGTATGGTGGTGGTGGTGGTGATGGTGATGATGATAAGCATCCTTTCTTAATTCCCTCCCTGTGGTGGGGAAAAGACCAATCAGTTTTTGAAGCCTCTTAAAATTATGGGACATAGATATTACGGACAAATATTAAAGGTAAGATTAAAATGCAAATGCCACAGAAAAGAAGAAACCATGGAATCACTCATGATACTCCAAAGAGCAAAGGATTTCAAATTATATTCTCTCTTAGAGCCAATTTTGAAGTACTGTGTGTGTGAGTGTGTGTGTTTGTGTGAGGCTGGGTCAGGCATAGGTGAGCGAGAGATAGAAAACCTAAAAGGAATTGACAATGGGGGTCAATGCAAGGGGCAGAGGGAACCACTAAAGCTGGCAGTGGGGATAGGAGACAAAGCCTGCTGCATAGTGATGTGATCACCACACTGACCCCAGGTGGACCCCATGGGAAGGCAAGGCCATGACTTCTCATTTTCTGGCTGGCTCAGTACCCTCCACTCCCCAACCTCACCCCTGCCCTTGTCCCCAGCTTGGGAAAATGTGAGGAGGGGCCAAGTGTAGCTGCAATCCCGCTTACAACCCAATGATCTATAGGATACTGTGAAGCTATGGTCACCAGTGCAATGGGGTCTTTTTCTATTTTCTCTTCAATTTTTCACTGCTTCATTTTTATATCACATGGAGTTCATTTCAAGACTTCGAAGTGGGGATATGATTTGTAAATACATAATGTGATATATATTCATGCTCTCCTTATCTAGCAAAAAATGCATTGTGACACTCTATTAACTGATACATGAGCAGAATCAATTGACATTGACAATGAAACGCCACAAGATCCTAAAGTGCTTCAGAACCATCAATGATTAGAATTCAGTGAAAGTTAAGTATTGAGTACATTCTCTTGTGTTCCACTTTCCTGAAATTGAACTTGCACATTGCTAAATGTGATATTTGGTGACTCCTATCAACCAGGTTATCAGTGGACTAGATCCCTCTTCCAAGTGTCTTTACACATCATTGCAATAGAAGCAGATGGAATCAAAGTGGTTTCTATGCTGATAAAACATTTTCATTTCAATAATAATTGAAGACTTCCTGGGCAACAGAGATGTACCTTCATCATAGACATTGTCTGTCACAGGCATCATAGATACTGTCATTAATATTTCATTAATAGCATTGACACAGCAAAATTCTGTACAGCCTCTGGTGTCTCAGATTCTGTGCTCATCCTCAGCACCAGGGGACAGGAAAAGGAGCAGACATGTGCTTGCCTTCTCTGAATACTGCATCAAAAGTGCCTGTTTCAGGCCTGCGCTGCGGCTCAATAGGCTAATCCTCCGCCTGCAGCGCAGGCACACCGGGTTCTAGTCCCGGTCAGGGTGCTGGATTCTGTCCCAGTTGCTCCTCTTCCAGGCCAGCTCTCTGCTGTGGCCCGGGAGTGCAGTGGAGGATGGCCCAAGTGCTTGGGCCCTGCACCTGCATGGGAGACCGGGAGGAAACACCTGGCTCTTGGCTTCGGATCAGCGCGGTGCGCTGGCCGCAGCACACCGGCCGCAGCGGCCATTGGGGGGTGAACCAATGGAAAAGGAAGACCTTTTTCTCTCTCTCTCTCTTCTCTCTCTCTCTCTCACTGTCCACTCTGTCTGTCAAAAAAATGAAAGTGCCTGTTTCTGGGGCTCCAGCGCTGTGTGGCAGTGGGTTAAGCCACCCTGCAGCTGCGCTTCTGATCCAGATTCCTGCAGACGCGCCCAGGAAGGCAGCAGAGGATGGTCTAAATGCTAGGGCCACTGCCACCCATGTAGGGGACCAGGATGGAGTTTCTGGCTCCAGCCTTCAGCCTTACCCAGACCTGGCTATTGTGACCATTTAAGGAGTGAATCAGTGGATGGAAGATTTCTCTCTCTCTCTCTCTCTCTCTCTCTCTCTCTCTCTCTCTCTCTCTCTCCCTCCCTCCCTCTCCCTCTCTCCCTCCCTCTCTCCCTCTCTCTCTTTTTCTCTCTATTGCTATGCCTTTTGAATGAATGAAATAAATAAATATTTTTAAAAAATCACTTTCCACTCCAAAGTGTAAACTTTCCACTCTACAGCACTAACCTGCACTTATTTTCCTCCATAGCAAGTTAATCCTTTCTGAAATAATATATTATATTTATAAGGCAAAATATGCCGTAAACACTCACAAACACAGCAATCTGTATTTCTTCTCTTGTTGGTTGTATATCTCCTCCAGGAGCATGTGAGGTTTGTGTGAGTAGAGACTGTCTCCTTCCTTACTGAATCTTTAGTGATGAGAAACATAAATACTCAATAATCATTTATTGACCCGGGAATGATGATTGAACAAATCTATGTCCATAGATATTCTAGCTTTTTCATATACGGTTACTTTTTCTACTTTAAGTAAACCCACATGTTTCTGATTTATGCAAAATGATTATTGAAATTTAGTAGGTGCTTCCATGGCCACGCGAGATGCATTTATAAAAATGAGGCATTTTGGAAGCCATGTACGTCTGCCTAATTCACTCATTTCCCACCAAATTACGTGTCTCACATTATAACACTAATCCCTTGGGCAGCTGTCCTTTGCTTTCTGGTCGCTGCAGCTTTTTCATATTAAGATACATAAACTCTAGAAAGCTTAATTTGAAACAGGTCAAATCTTGGACATGTATGTTAAATGATCTACTGCAAACACTTATTGAGCAAATACTGTAGCCCAGGCAAGTGCCTGCGCTTTACTTATGTTTAAATTTTACTATACGGAAACTCTCAAATACTACGCTCATCTTGCAAATGTGACAGCTGAGTCTCAGACCTGCTTAGTAGTAAACCTAAAGTTTAACACCGAATGAGTGTTAGAAACTGGCCCAAGCCCTTCCGACTTTTAAATCCAGTCACATGGACACTTTTTCTTATAAGAAATGATGTTTGCTACAAGGTGTTACAATCTTTTCTCACACAAAAATAGAACACAAACAGTTCGGTTTGTATGGATCAGTCACAGCAGTTTGCCTACAAATATGACATTTTCTGTCATTGATTAATGGTTTAAATACTGACCCCTGACTGAACCCTCAGGTTGGTAACGTAGGCAGGACAGGGTGTAGTGGCATGCTATGAGTCACGAGGTGCTGTGAGTTCTGGGGTGCAGTGAGTCCTGGGGTGCTGTTACTTCTGGAGTGCTAGGAGTTCTGGGGTGCTGCGAGTTCCAGGGTGCTGATTTTCTGGGGGAATTGTGAGTTACCATGGTGCTATCAGTACCCAGATACATAATTTAGGAAATCTAATGAATTCAGCGTCCTTAATCTCGGTTCCAGAGTAAATTGAAAGACCCGTGCCCCGTGGGAAGTCGAGCTTGTTGTCCTGTCGGGTCAGGGTTGCGCTGAAAATCTG